AAAAAAAAAAAAAATCAATAAAATGGACAAACTTCTAGCAAGACTGACAGAAATAGACAGAAAATACAAATTACCAATATCAGAAATGAAACAGAGGCTATCACTACAGATCTTACAGCCCTTAAAGAAATGATAAGAGAACACTATAAACAGCTTTGTGTTCATAAATTCAAGAACTTAGAAGAAATGGATCAATTTCTCAAAACCCACAAACTACCAAAATTCTATGTGTACTAAGATGAAATAGGTAATCTGAATAATCCAATAGCCATTAACGAAATTGGATTTTATAATTGAAATACTGGAAAAGAAATCTCTAGGCCCAGATTTTGTGACTGGAGAATATTATGAAATATTCAAAGGATAAACACTAATTTTATACAAAGTAAGGAGAGGGAACACTACCTAAGTATTACCCTGTTACCAAAACCAGACAACACACAAAAGAAGGCAAATATCACTCCTAAACCTATTATTATTTATTTTCGTTCTTATTATTTTTTTGAGATGGAGTCTCATTATGTTGCCCTGGTTAGAGTGCTGTGACATTACAGCTCACAGCAACCTCCAACTCTTGGGCTCAAACGATTCTCTTGCCTCAGCCTCCTAGGTAGCTGGGACTACAAGCGCCCGCCACAACGCCTAGCTATTTTTTTTGTTGTTGTTGCAGTTGTTTAGCTGGCTGGGGCTGGGTTCGAACCTGCCACTCTCGGTATATGTGGCTGGCGCCATAACCACTGTGCTATGGGTGCTGAGCCTACTCTTAAACTTAGATACAAAAATTCTAAACAAATATTTAGCAAACCCAATCCAACAATATATAAAAAGGATAATACACCATGACTAAATAGGGTTTATTCCAGTATGCAGGGTTGGCTCAACATTCAAAATTCAATCAAATATAATGTTTTTTCTGCATTAACCTATACAGTCATATGGTTTTTCTTTATCTTGTTGATATGGTAAATCATATTGATTGATTATATTATCCTCTCAGTGCACAAGAATAGAGGTGCTCCTCATAAAGAGCACCCCCCCAAAAAAAGAACCTACAGTTAGCATAATACCTAATGGAGAAAAATAAGAACAAGACAAGAACATATACTCTCATAACTCTTATTCAACAGAATATTGGAAGTCCTAGCCCCCTCAGTAGGCAAGAAAAAGAAATAAAGTCATGTAGATCAGAAAGAAAGAAAAACACTTTCTCTATTTGCAAATGCTATGATAGTCTATGTAGAAAATCCCAAGGAATCTACAAAAACATTCCTAGAACTAATCAGTGAGTTTAGCAAGGTCAAAAGATATGAGATTGGGCTGGGCACGGTATTCACACCTGTAATCCTAGCACTCTGGAAGGCTGAGGCAGATGGATTGCCTGAGCTCACAGGTTCAAGACCAGCTTGAACAAGAGCAAGACCCCATATCTAAAACAAAAAAAAAAATAGCCAGGCATGGTGGCAGGCGCCTGTAGTCCCACCTACTTGGGAGTCTGAGACAAGAGAATCACTTGAGCCCAATAATTTGAGGTTGCCATGAGCTATGATGTCAAGGCACTCTACCAGGAACAACAAAGTGAGACTCTGTCAAAAAAAAAAAAAAAAAAAGATATAAGATCAACACACAAAAAGCAATCGCATTTCTATATACCTGCACTATAATAAACACACAGAAACTGAAATGAAAAACATGGTATCGTTGATTATCACCAAAAATATAGGAAAAATATATGTATACTTATGTATAAAGCCTGGTCAGGACCTGTTTACTGAAAATTATAAAATATCAATGAAAGAAATTAAGGATTATAATACACCCAACAGGAATCTGGGGTCATTGTGATGAGGGGTACAAAACTTGTGGCCTGCCTACAAACAAATTCCCTACATGTGATGAAGAAAAAAATTATACAATGTATGTGGTGGATGTGTTTGAAAAATTACCAAATAAAATACTGGAAAAGTTTTAAAAAGAAAAAAACTAGGGAACACCTAAATTGATTCATAGGTTTAATGCAATTTCTATCAAAATCTCATCAAGATTCTTTGTTAGTCATAGACAAGCTTATTCTAAAGACAAGCTTATGCCTTTATGGAAAGGCATAGGAACTGGAGTCACCAAGAGAATTTTGTTAAAGAAGAATATAAAGTGTGGGGCCGTGCCTGTGGCTCAAAGGAGTAGGGTGCCGGCCCCATATACCAGAGGTGGCAGGTTCAAACCTGGCCCCTGGCCAAAAAACTGCAAAAAAAAAAAAAGAATATAAAGTGTGAGGAATCACTGTAGTTGATGGTAAGACTTACTATATAGCTCAAGTGTGATAACGGGGCGGCACCTGTGGCTCAGTGAGTAGGGTGCCTGCCCCATATATTGAAGGTCACAGGTTCGAACCTGGCCCCCACCAAACTGCAACAAAAAAAATAGCCAGGCCTTGTGGTGGGTGCCTGTAGTCCCAGCTACTCTGGAGGCAAGAGAATCACCTAAGCCCAAGAGCTGGAGGTTGCTGTTAGCTGTGATGCTACAGCACTCTACCCAGGGTGACAAAGTGAGACTCTGTCTCTAAAAAAAAAAAAAGAAGGAAAAATTGATAAATTAGACCTTGCCAAAATTATGAACTTTTCTTCTGTGAAAGCCCAGGTGAAGAGGATGAAAAGATAATCTATACACTGGAAATATTTGCAAAAGGCTAGAATCTAGCAGACGTAAAGAATTATCTGGCTCGGCACCTGTTGCACAGTGGTTACAGTGCCAGCCACATACACCGAGGGTGGCAGGTTTGAACCCAGCCTGGGCCAGCTAAACAACTGCAACAACAACAACAACAAAAAATAGCCAGGCATTGCAGCAGGTGCCTGTAGTCCCAGCTACTCAGGAGGCTGAAGCAAGACAATCGCTTAAGCCCAAGAGTTTGAGGTTGCTGTGAGCTGTAACGGCACTCTACCCAGGGCGACAGCTTGAGACTCTGTCTCAAAAAATACATAAATAAATAAATAAAATATAAAATGCCCATACCCTATGACCTAGCAGAATGAATTCTAGAGTCTGTGTATCTGGGTTCAAATCCTGGCCTTGCCATTGATTAGCTGTGTGACCTTCGACAATTTACTTAACCTCTGTATGCCTTGGTTTCCTCATCTTTTTTTTTTTTTTTTTTGAGACAGAGCCTCAAGCTGTCCCCCTGGGTAGAGTGCCCCGGCGTAACAGCTCACAGCAACCTCCAACTCCTGGACTCAAGCGAGTCTCCTGCCTCCGCCTCCCAAGTACCTGGGACCACACACGCGCCCGCCACAATGCCGGCCATTTTTTGGTTGCAGCCCTCATTGTTATTTTGGCGGGCTGGGCTGGATTCGAACCTGCCACCTTAGGTGTATGTGGCTGGCGCCTTAGCCACCTGAGCCACAGGCGCCGAGCCCCGGCCATTTTTTTGTTGCAGTTTGGCTGGGGCTGGGTTTGAACCTGCCACCCTCAGTATATGGGGCCAGCGCCTACCCACTGAGCCACAGGCACCACCCAGTTTTTTCTATTTTTAGTAAAGATAGGTTTTTCTCTTGCTCAGGCTGATCTCGAACACCTGAACTCAGGTGATCCACCCACTTCAGCCTCCCAGAGTGCTAGGATTACAGCAACCATGCCCTGCCTAAAGGTATTAAATTTCTAGAAGAAATTGTAGAAGATCTGTGTGACCTTAGATTAGACAAAGATCTCTCAGATACCATTCCAAAAACACACTCCATACAAGAAAAAAATTTGATAAATTGAACATCATAATTAAGTACTCCTTCTGCTCTTTACAAAATGAAAAGACAAACCACAGACTTGAAGAAAATACAGGTATTTGCAAATCACATATCTAATAAAAGATTTGCAGCCAGGCACAGTGGCTTTAGAATGAAAAGATTCAGAGGAATAATAGATATAGATATTACCAGGGGCTAAGGGAAGAGGGAAATAAGGAGTTATTGTTTAAAGGATGCAGAGTTTCTGTTTGGGAATATGAAAAAATTCTGGAAATGAATAATGATAACGGTTGCACAACATTGTGTAAATGTACTGAATGCCCCAGAATTATACACATAAGAATAATCAAAATGATATATTTTATGTTATGTGTACTTTATGACAATAATTTTTTTTAAAAAAAAATAGACTGTCTGGCTCGGCGCCTGTGGCTCAAGTGGCTAAGGTGCCTGCCACATACACCTAAGGTGGCAGGTTCGAATCCAGCCGGGGCCTGCCAAACAACAATGATGGTTGCAACCAAAAAAAAATAGCCAGGCATTGTGGCAGTCACCTGTGGTCCCAGCTACCTGGGAGGCTGAAGCAAGAGACTCACTTGAGCCCAGGAATTGGAGGTTGCTGTGAGGTGTGATGCCATGGCACTCTACCCAGGGTGACAGCTTGAGGCTCTGTCTCAAAAAAAAAAAAA